GTCTTCATATTCTGCCGGGACACTGTCCTACTTTGGCAATTTGCTGTAAGCTTCGACCTTGGGCTATGCAAACAAGTAATGAAAAATAACTAATAATAGTTTACTTAATGCAAAGGCTAGAACTACCTTCTTGAAACTACGACACTAGTGTGGTCGAACTAGGGCTTCTGTCGGTCCTAGAGATGGTGATTAAAAGCCGCAGTGAGAGTAGCCGTACCCTATGGGAATGAGATTTGGCATCTTCTGTCTGTGGATCTGAAATATCTTCAAGTACTTGGTCATCACCACATGCGAAAAATTACTAGTGTCGAATGGCAACAGCGTATCCACAACGACTGTGTGTAGGCGAGTACTAGCCGGAGATGTCGATACTAAATCCTTAGAACAACAGCAATGAATTATTTGCGACGGATCGAGCACGTGTTACTTATACCTGATCACCGCTGACCGGGTTGTAGGGTGGAGGTGGGAAAGTTAACTTGACAATAGAAAATGAAGATACTGGCGGTTAAACTAAGTACTCTTAACTCTTCTCGCCTTCCAGACTAGAGTTCACCTGACCTACCTTATGCTTGGCTCCATACATTACGGCACATTGCTCGCAGCCAGCATCTGTGGCTCATTTACTGCTGTCTAGTCGAACTATATGTTCATGTTGTTTGGTGCTGAGTTATCTGCGGGGTAATGGGTGAAATTGACTTGGGGCAGTGAAAGCCTCAAGAAATCTGTTTCGCCGATGCCGCCTTATTTTTTGCACGATAACCAGCTGTTTGTGACGGTATGTTGCTGACAAACATCACTGCTGTACAACCACTACCAGTGGCACGTGCGCTATGGAAACTGCGAAATTCGCCGGGTCTCTACGCAGGCTCAAACCGGCGCCCTCAGATTGCAAGTCAGGCTTGCGATCCTTAAGGTTACGGGCTGACTTATGATGCTGATACAGTGTAGGTATACAACTCGTGCACATTTGCTTAGGACACTACGGTTTTACGCTAGTCCCCGCTTCCTTCCTCCTTATTATCCTACATTCCTTGAGTCATTGTGGCAGCGAAATATCATTTCAAATGGCTGACGTACCGTTGTGGTTGTCGTTTCGGTTATTGTTGTTGTCGCTGTTGTTTTCGTTGTTATTGGGGTTGTGGTTGCAGTAGCAGCTATTGTTGATCCCCTTCAAGCGTGGACCAGCAACTTTCTTTTGCGCAGCCTTCTGGAGATGAAATTGCGTGAATCCGTGTTAGACCCTGTCCAAGTCAAACGTGTTGTAATATGAGATTCGATATTGAGGCCGTGTCTATTCCACATATTTATTAATGGTCTAGCGGGCTTAGTCACTTTAAGCTGCCTGCTTTATGCCGACGGCATCAAAGTTTGGTGGGGAATCAAAGTCCCCGATAACAGCATACAGCTTCAAAAAGACTTCGATAAGATGTATGGAAGGCCAGTCTAGATTCAGTTTCAGTTCAGCATGAGTAACTATCGAGTACTGATTTATTGTTATAAGCTGAAACAATAACATCTCTTGCTTTGTTCCCGCGAGGTAGATATTAGTTTATGAATCCAGGAATGCATCGACCGCTTGTATCCATCCGAAATCGTACCCAGGAAAGGTACCCAAAAACGTTGGCCCCTTGCGCAGAGATTCTGGTCGCTCCGACACATCTATTATCTCCAAAACGCTTCATGCTTACATATACCCTAATGTGGGAGATGAAGCTCAATGATGACAGACATGTCAGAAGCGGGATCTCATTAACCTGGTAGCTCCGCAGCTATACCATATGCCATACCACCATCAATTGAGAATGCCGGGAGTTTTCAGTGGAAGCTATCAACATTTGCGTTGTGACTTTGTCATGGTTTACCAGATTGTAGATAACTGTATTCACACATGCTATCATCTGTTAACACTAAGCCAGGATGTCAAACTTGCGGAACAATAAAACCGGCTGTAGTGTAGGCGGAATCTCCTCTCACTGTGTCTTTGCGACACCTCGAATTACCCACCGGAAGCATTTAAATTAATACTTATATTGGCCTTGTTCAAACATCGTACGGACTATGTACATGGTTGCCTGTACCTGATTCCAGTTTTCCCGTCGTTGCACCCACCACAGAACAACCACAGGAAGCCTGTGCATGCAGGGGGACCATGGATACCTTGCACTGCACCACGCACAGCTCCATCCACATACGCCATATCCACTGTAAACCCGAAGGAATAAGACCAGGAAGCATGTGGATGGGATCAACGTTCCATCAAGGCAGCCGGCTCGCACTTCTTCAACACGCACGGCAGCAGCATTCCTGTCTATCTACGTATGGAATCATGCGTAACAGACTTACCCAAAGCGCTGATTGGGCAGCAGTGCGCTCCACACTAGATGGAGCCATTCGTTCAGCCTAGCACGGCCAAGAAGACCGTGTAAGCCGTATCCTTCAACAACAATTAACCGTCTCCTCGAGACAGTAGAATCGAGTTAGGGGTTTTTCGATAGGTAGACACCTTGTCAGCATTCACGTCAAGCGAAGCCACACCGGGGTTATCAAATCATTAAACACATTATATAAAAAAATAAACATACAAACTGAATAGTAAGTATGCGGAAGCACTACAGAGCAAGGCGAATACAAAAAGTATGCATTACGTCTGATCTAGTGTAAGGGTGACCTTCGGCAAGTGTAAGTCAGAGGATATCTACCATCGAGTAACGAAAACGATAGAAAAAAGCGGGAAATAAGCAGGGCATATATGGAGAGTTAACAGAACTGATTAACCAAAACATGTTGTGGAACAAGCGTAAGTGTAAATCCATTTAGCCTAACTGCAGTGGGGAAGCAAAATAAATGTCATTTCAACAGCGTGAGGCACAGTGTACTAAGCTTAATAAACCATATACGGCAACCCATATTACCCATGCAAGCGTCAAAACTTCTCGGAAAGTCAATGGCAGTAGCCTTACAAAATGTACAAAACCATTTGTGAGTGATTTAGATGGATAAGTGTTTGGTCGGTAAGTTCAGTGCTTATGGTGATCCACGGCTTATCGCAGCTTTTCTCTTTCTGTTTAGAATCTCTGTTTAACCATCCAGCGTGACACCTCGATTTACAAAATATTTTATCTGCAATAAACTATTGGTCCTTATTTCTAGCGGTTGTATGTTTGGATAAATAAGTCGATGGTTAAATCTGACGTTGTCTGCAATCACATCAGTTAAATCAGGATCGGAGCATGAAGTCGCATAATGGGAATATTCCTCGTTTTACAGTTGGTTGCCCAGCAGCGCTTCATTTACTTTGATTCATAGGGGCTGCGAAATTCCTGTGATTAAGGTACTCCTACTGATAGTTCGGAACATCCAATACAGTTTGGGCTTGTTATCAAACATCCGAAAGAGCACAAATGACGTGACTACTCCTCCCATATTACTAATGAGTAGGAGGCTTACATATGACCTGAACGGTACATTCTCCCTCTCGAGCTTCCAATTCGCTTTTGTGTATTGCCTACTGCACAACGGCAAAATGGGCGTAATTTCATAGCCACGTCATAAGTGAACCAAACATAAGTTTGTAAGTGTGCTAGCAACGCCGCCGACCGACTAACAGAGAATGCATATGTGGATTGAACCATGGGCATGTTGTATTTCCTGTGTGCTAAGAGAGCAAGGTTTCTTGATGACAGTCTTGTAGGAGAACAACCGAGAGGACTGCTACTTTTGGCATCAATCTCGGCTGATTAGTCATAATATCATCTATTTTACTTGGAAAGCGCTGTTAGCATCCTGTCCAGGGATCAGGAGCATGCAAGAGCGCTATCGCCGGACCCACTTTGGGACACGTTTTGGGTGCAATGCGCTGATATAACTTGACGGTTTATACATCGATTTCCATTCAGGTCTTATATGATATTATCTAAAGCAGTAGAAGGGATTCCAACATAATCAAAGCCACCTTTGCAAATATTGGCTGTTGACAATCTGCAATTTTCCCAAGTTAGGGGTATGGAAGCATAATTTAATAGCTGGGCATTGCTTGCAATATCTTAATATGCCTCGAAACTACTGCATTTATTTGAACCAAAGGTCGCCCATCGAGATCACGCAACGTGAGATAATGGTGTTGCCCGGCATGAAGGCAGCTGTTATGTAGTCATGAAGCAACAACTGGTCGCTGATAGACATTATACATTTTGTAAAAGTAGCCCTTAGTTCAGCTGAAAATTTATTGCTTGTACTTAAAGCTACAGAGACTTTAGCAGGCTTGAAGGATGGGATTTGCGAACAGACCTCGAGACGGTCTAGTTGAGGAAAAGAAGTCAATATCGCATCCAGTGGTAGAGGAAAAGTGGCAGCTGAACAACCAAGTGAACGGCGTAAATCAGGACACATCGGGACTTAATTCACGGGATCATGCGGCGGAAGAACAGTCTGAGGAACTAGGAAATTGATAAATACCTGAAAGCGTACCCAGAAATTTGAGGTATGCAAGTGTTTATAGAAATAAATTTCAGTGTAGCTGCGCTGCCTTCACCTTACAAGCCGGATTACTGTGTACCAAACCTCCTCAACAAGACAGGAAATTAGTTACAAGTGAATGTTTATGTGATTCGCACTTGAAAAGTCGCATGACGAGGAGCCATCATATAATCGGACCAACATGCGCCAAAATCCTGAGTTTGGAAAGCTGCGAGTAATTGATGCCAATATATTACTGGCATCAGTGTAATGCTGCTTGACTGCAATCTACCATCTGAAATAACGCTATACATGACCAGATGACTCCCTGTGGAGCCTGTACGGATGAACCATATCTCATAACTTACCATGCGTACAGCACGCATCTGCTAATGAGGTTACTAAAACAATATATATATATATATATATATATATATCATGCAACCAGACAAGGTGTATAATTATTTATGCGGTCGCCATGGTGCGTTCAATCATTCGTTTCACCGCAACAAGGTTTATCTCATCTTTTATCTCCCCATCAGCCGTCCTTGGCATTATGGACACAGCGGCTGGAAGCGATTAGCAGTGATCGGAGCTTTAAATGTCCAACAATCCGCATGGCCAGTGCAGTGACCAGCAGTTATCGCTTCCCTGGAAGGCGCCGATCCCCTACTTTGCCAGTATACTTTTATGAGTTCAGACACAGAACACAATCAGTGCAGTGGCCAGAATGGACCGGCACAATGCACGGATATGAGATCGAATATGTGTTCGGAATTCCATTCAGTCCGCAGTTCCAGGCCACGTATTATCGGTTTACGGACGAAGAAAGACAATTAAGCGATATGATCATGACCTACTGGGCGAACTTCGCTCGTACGGGGTGAGTGAAACTATCTTTAGGTTCCCTACTGAACGCATGTTAACTGATATATAACTACGAAAAAGCGTTAAGATGCACCATTCAAAAAATAAGTCCAGCTACCATTTTGATTTGTCTTTCCTATATTCACATTTTTTCAGACTTATGCTTATACACGTAGATCTGCCATTCATGTTGCACGTACTCAGTTGTGACCTCAAGCTAACCGCACTGTTGGACTTAATACTACTGCACTTCATTGTAGCAACGCGTCACGCACTGTAAAATGGATGAATAGGACGAACAACTAAAGGAAGCGTTCAACCATTTCATACTAGTGTGGACTGATCTCAAGCGATCATGTGTACTTGTGTGGTACCCCCGGTGGAAAAGTTACGGCTATGGTAACGGATGTACCGTGGTAAGAAATCCACAGTACAGCGCGGATGACGACGTCAGACAGGTCACGGAGCGTACGTTCGTCTGGCTGTCTGCATCTGGTAGGGAAAATTTATGATGCAGAATGAGACTTTACTCGATCGTAACCATGACCACGGACAAACACAATAACACAGGAAACAGACGTAGTAGCTCAGGCCACATTCAACTACGAGCGTTGACCACCACTTATGTGTACCAATGTCTACTTTTATCTCTGTATACCACTTTGTAGATCCATCCTCCTTGAGGCCGTCTGTTTATTTCCTATTTAACTACCGTTTACTTTGTGACCGATTCGTTTTATATTGACAGTTACGGGAAACTGCAATAGTGCAATCCACCTCTGTCCGTTCGTCATCAAGGGCAAAAATAATGCAAGAATAATTGTGTTTTCTGGCTGTCCCTGAGGTGAAAACCTGCAGTGCTTTTGGATCCCTGCCCACTGTCGCGTGAACAAGCAGGACTAAATATCCCAAGGGATGAGTACGATAAATAAGGCTTAAAATTAAACCTTAATCATGGGTCATTTCGATTGGCATTAAGCCCCCAAGACAGGATACGACTGCATCGCTGTGAAAGCCATGCCCCATGTGTTCCATATACGAGCTTGCCACATAATGTGATTGACCTGGAGTGGAAACAGCTGAATGGGATGAATGTTTGGTGCTGCCAGCCAGAAAACACTACACAATGCGATCGGTTTCGAAATTGTTTGATCTTAACCAGTAGAAATAGGAAGCACACCAACCCAAGGATTCTGGATATCATCAAAAACCACTAACTCTAAACACCGAGTCGCCCTGACGACGCTTGTCCCAGCGGCCAATGACTAGTTGGATGGGATAAGTTTGCGGCACTTATTGTGTGAAATGAATACGAATACCTAACACCCACCACTCATAATTGGCTGTACCCACGGACGTCGCGGATGTTTGGATCAACGTGTGCTGGATACTACTTTTGCCTCAGCTTACTGTGTTATCAGCGTTTTATCTGTGTGAATTGTGTACCAATATTCTTCCTTTGGCGTATTTTTCAAGCGGTGCAAATTTGGCGACTATTCTTTTGCTAATTCCGGAGATCTCATTGATTTGCTCTACTGCCACCTCTGTCCGTCATCTTGGATTTACTCTAGCTTTTGTTGCCATCTCAAGCTACTTGTGGTTCATGTTCGAAAGTTGCGGGAAATAAGGCTCATGCACTTCGGTGCTTCGGCTGCGATGTTTTCTTCCATATTTCGTGCATTGGCTTATCCGTTGACATGTTTCGAAAATCGCTCGACATCCGACGTCGGTCTTTTCAAGTTCTGTGTGATAAATGTCGTGGTACAAGACATTAGAATACGCATAGACCGCAAGCAACTACGGGAAAATCTTTCTTTTAGATAGAAACAAACCGTTCACCACGTGGGATCAAACGCCCTTGTGTGAGTACCTCTGTCACCTCGCCTTCTATATTCAGTCCGCGATCTGCAACACCAGCAGCGTCTTCGACCCTGGCCGAGCCCCAGATTCAATGTTCCCCACCGATGGAAGACTCAGACTCGGAACCTACGAAATGCCGCTTCACTGATCGGTCCGTGAATTTCTCAGAGGCTGTCTGTGAACTTCTGAACACCGAGGATCCATGGTCCACTCAGAAGCGCAATGGCCCACGTAATCGAGTTCAGACGTCACCTACTGATAAACAATAATCCAATCAGTTAAGCGCCTCTAGTTCTGCTCCCACAAGTTTATCACTGATTCCGTTAAGGCGTCATAATCTCATGGTCTTCCACGTACCGGAGTCCAACGATGAAAACCCTCAGATACGTTATGCTCATGATGTTGAGTTCCTCCAGGGGCTCATCGATAGATTCTTGGATGTGGGCGAAGACAGTGTGACGATTAAACAAGTAATCCGACTTGGCCAGAAAACTAACCAGTCATGTCGACCTCTGAGAATCACCTTTGCAAATCCCATTATGTCGCAGCTCATACTGTCTCGTCTGTCAAGGCTGAAAGGCATAAAGATTCACATCCACCGAAACTTGGAACCCGTAGAGAGGGATGGTTTGAAGACCGCGGTCATTGAGCTCAAACGCCGTCCTGAAGAAGGTGAGACTGACTTACAAATTGTAAATGGTTGCGTGATCAAAGAGGGTGTACGAACCCGTATCAACCGGTTGCTCAACGTCCACGGACGTCCCGCGCTACCTCCCAGGGCCTCCGTGTGGCATTCGCCAAGGTGTGCAGCCTAATGAACAAACGTGACGAACTGTGCCACTTCGCTGCCTCGGAGCGATCGGACGTTTTAGAAATTGCAGAGATTTGGCTGAACTCCGACGTCATACCCCAAGAAGTCGCGTTGTCAGGATACTCTTGTTTCCGATGCGACCGAAAATCAAAGGCTCACGGTGGTGTTCTATTGTACATAAAATCCTCACTATCTGGCAAATTTACCAGCAACTATCGGAGCGAGAATAACTTATGCGAGCAATTGTGATGCACCATCCGCCTCAGACACGCAGAACTAATAGTGGGTGTTATCTACCGTAGCCCATTAAACCATTGTTGCGATTGGCTACCACATATACAGAAGCATATGAGCCGCCCTCATTTCTTACTGATGGGGGATCTAAATTAACCTAAGATATTTTGGCCAGACGTTCGACTTCTTCCCGGTCATGGCAATGTTGAGGCACAATTGGCTAAGATGACTATTGAAATCGGGGCAACGCAACATGCGATCCAACCGACGCGCGTAACTCCGCACTCGGCATCTTGTCTGAACCTAATGTTTACGAGCTGCGAACAGAAGCTGAAAGACATCAGAGTCATTGAACCTCTAGCGAACAGTGACCATTGCTCCATTGTGGCAACTTTAGAACTGTCATTACCATATTACAATCAACGGAAGCCGACATTCAACTATTGGAAGACGGACTTCAACGGGCTCGTCCAAGCTGCAAGTCAGACTGATTGGACAGTATCACAGGACGCGTCACTTGAGGTCTGTTGGTCATTAATGAAGAGGAAGCTTAACTCGCTCTGTACTCGGTTCGTTCCCCTTAAGTATTCAAAGATCGGACCTGTCAAACCGCATTGGTTTGATATGGAATATAGACAGTTAGCGCGATGACGTCACAAACTTTGGGATGGATACATCAGCTCGAGTTGTGATGAAGATTACACGGTGTACAAGAAACAGCGTAACTTATGTAACGCCGCAAAGATCAAGAAACGCCGGCAGTTCGAAGAGGATCTAGCATCCTCGGCCACAACTGCACCCAAAAGCATATTTGCCTACTTGAAACGTCAACTGAAACCGGGGGGCGACCTACCGGTCTTGGAGAGGTTAAACGGAAAGACGCTCATCTCAAACGCGGAGCGCCCGGACGCCCTGGCTACGCACTTCCTCACTGTATTTTCCAGTAAACCGGCGGCGGTTTCAGTACCGGCACAGGTTGCGCCAGTCTTGCTCAACAGCCTACAATGTGATGCAGTCGAAGGGTACCAACTACTCGTCAACCTCGATGGTGCAAAGCCCCCCGGACCAGACGGACTTCACCCACTAATACTCAAGTCCCTATCCATTATCATCTCACCAGCCGTGACAAAACTTTTCAATAAATCGCTCTCTGAAGGATCTGTCCCGAACGACTGGAAATGCTCGATAGTGAGACCGCTTCCCAAGGTTGGTGATGCGAGTAAACTAGAGAACTATAGACCGATCTGATTGACTTCGGTATTATCCAAAGTGCTCGAGAAGGTTGTGAAAAAGTGTCTGCTGTCGTTCTTCGAATCGATGGACATATTGACGCCAGCGCAACACGGCTTTACGAAAGGGCGATCCTGCATCACCAACTTGATGTACGCAAACCACCAGTTGGTACGAGCTCTCAACGAACAGAAGGATGTTGACGTGGTGTACATAGACTTTAGTAAGGTGTTTGACAGAGTGAACCACGAGGTACTCCTTGGTAAGCTAAGGACATAGGGAATCGGTGGCACGTTACTTCAGTGGTTACACGAGTTTATTGTGGGACGAGAGTTTAGAGTACAGGTCAATGACTACTTAACAGACTGGTTCCCATCGACCAGTGGCGTGCCTCAAGGAATTGTACTTGGGCCATTATTATTTCCTATTCATATCAACGATCTTCCGCAGCAGCTCCAGTCACCATGTGCTCTGTTTGCAGATAATTTGAAAATCTGGAGGGTCATTGGGAACCAGGACGACTGCGCTCGCCTTCAGCATGACTTAGAGCGACTGTCAACTTGGTCCACTGAAATGCAACTCCCTCTTAACGCAAGCGAGTCGGAGTTCATCAGTATCACCAGACGTCCAGACACTCGATAATACACTTGGACGACCAGTTGCTCCATCCCAACACATCTGTCAGAGACTTAGGAGTTCTCTCACGACATGATTTAAGATTACTAGAAAATACAGAGAAATTGTACCGTGCGGGACTTCGTATGCTCTGGGCATTAAGACGCAGTTTCTCCACATGGTCCGAAGAAACCGTCCCTCGTCTATTCATCTCGTTCATCAGACCAATCCTTGAATACGGTGCCCCAGCTTACCATCCGATAACC